TTATTTAGAAAAGTATTAAGAATATTTTACTTTTGACCCCAGTTAAGTATCAACTAGATTCACTTTCTGATCGAACGAGGTACTGAAGTCAAAAATCGAAGCGTTTTTACTGCCCTATAACGTGATGACAGACACACAAAAAAAAAAAAATAAAAACACACATCATGGTAAAATCAATACATTCATCGCTCCGTCAGAATCTAAAATAAAGATTCCTATAAAATAAATTCTAAATTAATAAAATCAGATTCATTATGAACCCGACTCACTCAGTCATTCATAGTAGGTTTCTATACAGTTTATTATAAATGCCCACGAAAAATATTTTTAAACTACAAAACTAGAAACTTACACCAAATGTTTGTTTTATCAATTCCTATTTTTGATAAAATTTTCAAAATATTTCAACTATTTTTATGTTATATATAGACATTTGAAATTTTATGTTTTTTAAGTTTTTTATTCTATACATGTCGATAACATTTTATTCATTGGGTCATAAAACTTGAAAATGTAATTCAAAAATGTTCTATACGTTGATATAATAGCAGCTGGAAAAATATTAAATAGGTACTTTTTTTTATAAACTTATTAAGTTCAAATTTTGACAAAATGTTTTCAATTGAAAATTTACAAATTCTTTGTGTTTAAACATTTATATAAATTTTAGCTTTTATAGCTAAGGATTGAAAAATTAAAACTAGGTTCAACGTAAGTAGTTAATTCTGCGGTAAAAAAATCTAAAAACTATACAAACCCARTTTTTATATAGTTGTTCAAATTTGGATGAAATTACATATTAAATAACCAATAATAACAATCTTAGTTGAATTGTTGTGATTCAAAAGTATTATTCGTGGGTACTTAAAATTTCTAGAGTATAATTTATATTCTAATACTAATAGTTAATGCAGTTAATGATTTATGTTAATACTTTATAATAAATTATACATACTATGAGTGACTGGATGAATTGTAATRAATTTGATTTGATTTTATTAATTTAGAATTCATTTTATGGGTGTTTACCTATACATTTTTTTTTGAAATAATAGAAATATAATTAATATAGTATAAAACTATAAATTATTTTAGAYAGACAAACCGTCTCCGCTCAGAATCGTTTTTCGTATACAATGATATTATATCATTGAAATCAAATTTAAAACCATAAATTAAAGTAACCCACTTGTAACATACTGGACAGCAAAGTGACTTCTACTTTCCCGCTTTTTTTTTTGTTTCAAAAATGTGGTTTGTCGTATTGATTATTGAACACAGAGCTTAGAAACAATATACCTCATGATAAAAAATATCTCATTAATAGTTCACGTTGAAAAATAATGGACTTATAACATTTTTAAGCCCATATTTTGTTATAAACGTGAAATTGTATATAGGAGATCGGCTTAAATATAGAAATAAATACCTGAGGGTATAAGGGATAATATCGTAATAAATTAACAGCGTGTTTTGTACTATACCCTATTATAAATAGTAATAATTTTTGGTAAATTTAGATATCCATATTGGACGATTTACTTACCAATCGCTATTACACAAAACTTTTGGATATTCATTTGGACTACAATCGGATTAGTTCAATAAGCATATTAGARGGATCACATTGGTTGACACGTTGCAGAGTTATGAGTTTTAAAGGAAACAATTTGACTAAAGTTTGTGAAGATTTTTTTTATGAACTAATTTATAACTGTTTTATTAATAACATATTATTTTATTTTAAGGTACCAACATATGCATTAGATAATGCATTTCAGAGAAATCGTAACATCGTTCAACTTTATTTAGGTGCTAATCCTTGGCGTTGCAATTGTTTGTTTGCTCCGGCTTTCCAGGTATATCCTCATAAAAATGGTTTATGTGATTTCATGCAACTTATAAGTTTTTAAATAATTTTGGGATTTTTAAGGATTTTTTGATTAAATATAAATCACTGATTATGGACTTATCAGATATCAAATGTTCATACCAGCAAAATGATGAATATTACATGACTCCTGTAAGTGCTGTTTGGAAAATGATGTAATTATTTACTTGTAATAAAATAAAATTTAAAACAAGAGGTAAGTTTTAAAACTGTTTAGGTATCATATTATGTTATAGGTATTATATCTGTTTAAAATTCGATATATTAACTGATTAATTCTTTGGGTATTCCTTATCTGAATGGTAAAGTGACGAAATGCATAAAATGTGTTTAAAATTAAATTAG